TTCCTCGATGCCGCGGTCCTTATCAATAAACATATATCAATTGAAAACATTATATGAATATAGAATTGGGAAGGTCTACATGAAGTCCAGTTTTTCTTTATATGGAGTATAATCCGACAATTGGCTATTAAATATAAAAATTTGCCAGTATAATTAAGGCAAGGTTTGGGATCGAATGTAAGGAGCTTGATTTGGCTTAATTAAGGTTGTATAAATAGTATATATAGTATATAATATATATATATATAATTGTGTGAATGTACTCAATCAAATATATTGTGTGATGTATCAATCAAATGAAGTCACCAAAATATCAATTTTAGGTTGTAATAACAGGGGCATGCTTAAATTGCACATGGCTTGTTTCTAGCATGTTTAGAGATGATAATTGTTCATTTAACCAAAAAGAGAACTATAATTAAGATGGTATGATCCATGTGAATAATAACAAGAAAGCTTAGAATTTTTTAAAAAATGATAATTTATATATATAAACTAATTAATTGATGAAGAAGAATTATATTAGTAGCTAGCTGTTTGCCATTTCTGAGAAAAAGGAACATGGGTTCCATCCCATGACCCTTTTGTAAGAAGCCAGCTTAATATTGCTACCCACTACTCTTCCATGCATATGCTCTTAAATGATGTATGAAAGGAAAGCTTCCTTCCTTTGATAGACTCCGTGACTTTCTTCCCTCTTGAAAAAAAAATTCAAAGAAAAAAAAAAAAATCTCTAAGTAAAACTAAATATCTCTATAGCTGGAAACGAGTAAAGTCGCTTACAAATTGCTGAGATTGCAAACGTGGGTTTGGTTTTTCAAGCTCAAGTGTATATATCAAATCAAACTTGAGCTTAATAAAATTTTGATTTGGCTCGCTCAGTTGAGTTTCACTCATTTGCAACTTTACATCTAATTGATATCTTAATATTAACTATAATTTGCCATAATCTTAAGATCCTGATGATATAAGTGTTATAAAATCTTTTAGATATTATTTTATATATATAAAAAGAATCAATTAATATTTTGTTTGACGGACAAATTGAAAAGAAAAGCAGTGTCATTAGCCTGCCATGTCGTGATGATATTTATGGGGGTGTTTCTGTGTTAATGAGTGACCTTACAGATTAGGTTAGACATGCAGAAACGTATTGTTAAAAGTCCAACTTGTAGAAAGGGGCAAAAGTCAAACTCAACAAATTGCTTCGTTTAATTATAAACCACACCCATTTTACACATTCCCAATGCAAAAGCTTCATTCCAATTCCTGGCTGTATTTTTTTTTTTTTTTTTTTTTTTTTTTTTTGTATTTTTCAGGAGTAATAGTGCTGATAAGGGACAGTTAATTAATAGTGTAAAGATGAAAGATTTTGTCAAAATACACCTTCAAGGAATCATGTGATTTTGTTTTTGCTTCATCTAAATATAGGTAAATTTAGGTTGGAGTTTAAAGATTTTGGAATCATATTACTTTTTTTTCTTTTAAATTTTCCCTATTTCTTTTTAAATTCCTTTTATGTTAATTTATGGTGTGAAAAATTAGGGAAAAGACAAATAAATCGATATGAGAACATCAATATCATACAAGGCGGCTGCAATAAGTGCAATTACTGAGTTTAACAAAGTCTAGTTACATATTCAAGGTTGATACAAACAGATAGGGATGGCAATTTTTACTTGACCTATTATATCTGATTTGATTCCACTCAACTCCATTTGATAGATTTAAGTACGTAGTGAATAAATAAATTTGAAATGCATATGAATAGTATTTTTATTATCTGTGTTGGATTCATGTCAAGTTTTAATTCAAAAATTCGGATGCCCGTCATGCATTACCCGTTTAATTAATATTTTAAATTTTTTTAAATAATAAATTTTTTTAAATAATAATATATATATATATATTAATATTATAATATATATATATTAATATTATATATATTAAACCTTTATATTATAATTTTTATATTTTTATTTTTAAAAATAAACAATATTTTTAATATTAAATGCATAAATCAGATGTGGATATTAAATTGATAACCATAATCGGCTCGGGTTCGAGTAACAGAAGTGAATTTTAAATTAACTTATAATTGAGTCAGAATTTGAGTAATGCATTTAAGTGGACAACAGATCAGTTGCCAATCTTATAAATAGATAGGACAATTTTCACAAGCACCTCATCAAGTTAGAGAAATTTTTAAGTAGATTCAGTCTACCACGTCGTTTATAGACTCGTTCAATTCTTGTTAATTCTTTCACGTTTCCCGTTTGTTTATTCTTGTTAATTCTTTTACGTTTTTTGTTTGGAGAAAAAAAAAAGCAAGCTACTTCCGTTTGCTTATTCTTATTAATTCTTTCACGTTTTTTGTTAAAAAAAAAAAAAAAAAAAAAAAAAAAAAAAAAAAAAAAAAGCAAACTACTGATATGATTTTATTCCATTGAGTGAGTCTATAAATGACACGGTAAACTGAATCTATAAATGACACAGTAGATTGAGTCTACTTAAAAATTTCTACTGATCTACGTACAGATGATAATTATCTAAAGCATTGAGTTGTTAGATTTGGTACTAAGCATTGAAGGAGAAGTGCTACTCTTCTAGAAACTGATGGCACGATCTTTGAAATTTTGTTTGCAACTATTAGAAGAGATTTTTTCCACAAGTAATGTGGACTTAAAGAGTTATCCTCCATTATAGGTTGCAGGAGGACTTGAGAGTACAGTCAGCACTTGACACTATTCTAAATTTTGAAACAGTGAAAATTTATTTATGAGAATTTCTCTTGAACTTAATCTTTGACAATAATGTTTTATAATTCACTCCTTTAAATTTTACACACTATTATAAAAATTACCTACTAAATAATATAAAAAATAATTTGCCAAATGCAGTCTAAGCAAAACACCAAATAGATAATTATGGCACTTTACATCTTAAAGTATGAAAATATTAATTATAACAACATATTTTTTTAAATAATCTATAAATTAAAAGCAACTCAGATGATATTTATACTGTATTTCGTAATAACTTTTACCATTTTGACTGATGACATAACTTTTTAAAAAAAATTGATGATTTTTTCAAATAACAATCAATTTTTCGCTAAGCTTATATAAAATAAATATATATACATCCAAAACAAATAATTATTTCCTCTCGTGAAAATTAAAAATAAGGGTATATATGTACATATATGAACATAGGGATCGACTTGGTATGAAAATGAAAATTAAGAGTATTATATGAGCAGTGCCTATGAGATTCAAAGGCAATTAAAGCAAAAATGCTGAATCCACCTAATGCATTTATTGTAAAATCAGAAACGTTCCATGTCGATAAATTAAATATAATTTCTTCTTGTGTCTTCTTCCTAATACATAAGCAAATGATCTTCTCTTATGAATAGCATCTAATAATTATAAATTTTGAATTTGAAAATAATAATAATAAGAGCCAAAAAAGCAAAAAAAGAATATCTCTTTATGGATATTAATATAATTTATATTTAAAACAAAGCTACTAATATATCTTTTTAATACTAATTACATGTATTTTAAAATGTTATAAATGAATTTACTTCTTATTTAATTTTGGTCATATCTACAATATATCATATTTTTTAGTTTGAGTTGCCACAAAAAAATTTTCCTTAAGATATGGGGTAAATTTATGCATTTATACTCTGTTTGTTTCCGTAAAATAACTTGCAGAAAAATAATTTGCTGAAAAGTATTTTCCACGTAAAACATTTTTCTTGAAAAAAATTTTCCAAATGATTTATTTTCCGTTGTTTGGTTGTAATATTAAACATTAATTAAAAATATTAAAATTTTTATCTCATAACACTATAAAAAATATTAATAATAATAAAAATAAAATATTAATAATATAAAAATTTACAAATTTAAAAATTTTATCGTTAGATATAGAAGAAAATATTAATAATAATAAAAATTTTACAATTTAAAAATTTTATAGTTAGATATAAGAAGAATGAAAAAAAAAAAGTAAATTATGAAAGATGTCTGGTAGTATATGGTGACAGATGGAAGTGACTATAATGATTAATAAATTAAAAAAAATATGGATTTTTAAGATTTGTCAATGTTTGAAAAATATTTTACTCTGTCGAAAATAGAAAGTTATTTTCCTTAAAAAATGACTTAATTTTCATTTAACCAGAAAAATATTTTCTATTGACTTATTTTTCTGAACGTCCCAAATAATGAAAAGTATAAAAAATATTTTCCTACAACTTATTTTATGGAAACAAACGAAGCCTTAAACATTAAATATATACAAGTGCAACATATGTGTTAAAGAGATTGGTAGCTAAATATTAAATTTTAGTTCAATCCATACCATTAATTAACATTCATGCATAAAGTACATCTTGTAGTAGGTTCAATAAGAAATCAACTCAGGCTAATCTAGCTTCCCTGCCGACAATTCAATTATCTTAGAGTTTAATTGGCAGCTGAACCCTAAATTTCCATTGCCTCCAAAAAGAACATAAGCACATAGAAAAGATTTAATCACAGCATACTACCATACATGTTAAGAAATCAACTCAGGCCTAAATCTATGATCGCTTCTCTTTGATTTATTTCTATATATATATTTTTTAAGTTTTTTCCCTTAATTTTTTCAGGTTAAATTTGGGTGTACCAGAAGGTTTGTCGGCTTCGATAAAATAAGTTTTCTTAAATTGAATTTGCTCATGAAAAAAAAAAAAGAAAAGAAAGTGGTGGAGGCATAGATCATTCTCGCAACTCTTAGGCCTCAATTAGTTTCTTAATAAACAAAAAAAATTGAGTAATTCTTCTAACTGAGATTGCGAGTTTGAATTTAAATTTGAACTTAGATAACAAAAAATTAAAGAACAATTAATTATAAGAGCCAATTCATTAAAATAATTAAAACCCTAATACTAGATGTAAATAAGGACTAAAATTTTGCATATAATGCAGCTATTAAAGTTCTGACACTTAGAAGAAAAAATATATATTATTCATCTTATATATATACATATAATAATAGTGTCGAGTACATAGCATTTTCATATAGATATGCACTTTCTAATTTACAATTTTGTTTCTTCCAGTAAAGAGGGTGTTACATCTTAGTAATTTCCTGCTTAATTACTCTAGTCTAGAAACAAATTTTTTACCAGAAGATGAAGACCTAGCTACACTCAAAACACCAAAAAGAAAAAGAAACAACTAATTAAGCAACACTAGATGACACGATGATTAATTAATTAATTAAGCAGTTATTCATCAAAACAACCCGATTTCACTATCCACTAATGACATGTTAATTAGGTCATCATGACCCTGAGCAGCACCTTCATCAAACAGCCATTTCTCAAGCAAAGAAAGAGGAACTCGATTATTATTGTTATTATTATCATCATCATCGATATTAATACTCTCCATGTTTATTGGCTTGCTTTCATCTTGGATGAAGCTTGTTTCCGGTGTCAGATTGGCATTCTCATCCATGGATTGCGACCCATCTGACGAATTGGAAGAGTTGAAACTGAAAAGCGAGTCAAAACCCTGATGGTGGTGATGATGATTTGGGGTAGTAGTTTCTTCCGTGCTAGAACTTGAATTCGCCCTCACGGCTGTGGAATTAGAATTTGTTTGAGCTGGTTTTGGAGAATTTTTCATCCAGTTTTCAAGCAATCTTGCTATGTTTTCAGCACTTGAAGCGTAAGTAGTTGGAGGAGCAGCAGCAGCAGCAGCAGCAGCATTAATAGAAGGCTTTGAGTCATTACAAGGAAAAGAGGTTGATTTGTCAAGAGATAAAGCTTCGCAAAGTGCTTGTTTTGCCAAACGAATATCTGTTTGAAGCCGTCTTTCCCACTGTCCTTTTGGCTGTTGAGAAGAAGATGAGAATCCTTCATGATTTTGACCATCTTGAAGCTTTTTCAGCTTCTTTTTCAAATGGGTGTTCCAATAATTTTTTATATCATTATCTGTTCTTTGTGGAAGATAAGATGCTATGGCTGCCCATCTGTATCAATAAAAAAAAAAAAAAAATTAATTAGTTTAGAGTAATCCACAACTTTTCTTCTAAACCTGGAATTCTTAAAAATAGGAAAGAAACTGTCAAAACTTAAATTTATTTTGATTTTCATATAAATAATAAACAATTTCTTCCTTTTACATTTTAAGTTTTAATTAAAAGAAAAGAGTCATCTGAATTTAAACTGGAAAATCTAGTGTGTGCATATAATATTACCTATTTCCAAGAAGAGCCTGGAGATGAATAATCATTTTCTCTTCATGGTCGGTGAAGTTACCACGCTTAATACCCGGCCGGAGATAATTAGTCCATCGGAGCCGGCAGCTCTTGCTGCATCTAAGCAAACCTGAAAAAACCCATAAGAGAAACTGTAAATCATGACCAGAGAGAGGAGAACATTTGTTGGACAGTGTATAAATCTAACCCAAAATTTAGGGCACAGGAAGAGATAAAATAATAAAAAAATGAAGCCAAGTTGATGACAACAGTAGTAAAGTTGCAGAGGATAATAAATACACAACTTAAAGATCAACCAACCTCCAACCAAACAAAAACTTAAAAAAGAAAAGGCTAATAAATTCTATACAAAGAATGATAAAAGAGAAATATAAAAGTTTAATAAAAGCTACCTGTTTTTGTAGGAACCGATCTCCAATTTCCAGGTCCATGTTCTTGTATGTAAGAAACCAAGATGATATCTTCTTCTGGTGTCCATGGCCCTTTCTTTACACCTACTTTATCACAGCAAGGTGGTCTCCCCATATCCTCTCTTTCTCTCTCTAGATTTCAAGATTTATCAACAAGACTAGTCTTGGAGTCTTTGTAGGTGTTTATCTATCTAATCTCTTTCTTTTGTTTTCTTGCTTTCTTTCTTTCTTGTTTGAAATCTCCAGAGACAAGCGTCCAAAGCAAGTGTTTAGGTTGTGTATATATACACATAAATAAATGGAGAGGAGGTGTTTACGCTGACCAAAGAGAGGAAAAAAGGATTTGCTCGCTGCATAGAGTCAAAATGGCCAGCAATGTGCATTTACTCCTTTCTTGCAAAAAGTCAGCTATGAATCTCTCTCTCTGTGCACTTCACAATACCGTGTGGCATTCATTATGAGCGTAGTGGAGGTGGCACCGAAAAGAACAAAAATAATAAAACCCTAATTTAATTTACTCTCTTAAATGCAAAACAGTAATAATAATTAACTAGGTTTGGAATACTCCTAGGTTCAGAGCAAATTAGCATCCTAACCTTTCATTTTATGGAAAATTCTACTAGTTTTAATATTCACAAATCATTCACAATTAAAGAAAAAATCTATATATTTAAAAAAAAAAAAAAATCAATAGTGTTCATATTACAGTCATTAAGGCTAAACATTAAGAGACGGGCTCATATTTAGTAAACTAATTAATAGAAACATTTCCTTCATGTTTTTGTACTTTAATTTCTGAAAATGGATGTTTATGTTTTAAAGCATTCTTCCATTATAATAACGTTCCTATATATGAATGATCTTATCGGCCGTTAAATTTAAAATTACATTCATTCTAATTCTAATGTAATTTTTAACTTAATGGACTTAAAAGTTTTCCTTATGTAAGATTTGATTTTATAATACACAAATACTATATTTTAAATTCAATACTTTTACGTTCGAATAAAATAATTGAGGTAATAAATTCATTTTTTTTCTAAACAAAAGATAATTTTAATTATAATATTTTTAAATAAAAATTTAAGTTTTTTAAAGAGTAATTAACTATTGAGCAAATATAATTTCAGAATTTTCAAGCAAGAATCTAGCATTTGTAAGGCCTTAAAAATGGAAAAGGTTGCTTTCAAGGAACGGGAACACTTACTCCTCGTGATATGTGCATGACCATGACGTGAAAAAAGTTTTGCATTGCTAATTTATTAGAATCAAAATCAACTAGCTAGGGTTTGCATAGTCAAAATTCGCATGTCCATCCATTTGCAGGGAAAGTATATAACTAACTAAAAAGTCAAAATAGGGAAAGGGAAGTATGCCCATCCGATGGATGTGCTTCTGAGATCCAGGATGATGATCGCGAAGAAGTTAATAGTAATAATAGGCTTATAAATATTTACTAATCTACAATTCAGTACCTTCCAAGCATCATCAGCCCTTAGTTAGGGGGAAAAAAAAACATAATTACATAATAAATCTTGCAAATATCTTATATTGAATGTCAACAAATAGCAGTCATTTTATATTAGTATTTTTCTTTTTTGCATTAATATGCATCGCTTTAAGAATATGGAGAAGTAATTGATGAAAATTTTTTCTAGTTTTACTCTTATTTAATTTTATAAATATAATAACTATTTCTACAAGTCTTTATATTCGTTGACCATTCTTAAATGTGAGATAAATGACAATTTAATTAAATTGATGAACATTTAGTTATAATTTAAAAATCAATTGCTTTCTTAATCATAATAAAATCTTAAACGATAGATATTTATAGACGGAGAAAGTAATGTTAATCATGTATATAATTATAGATTAGCTAATAAAGACCATATTACTCTTCTGTTCTATTAAATTTGGCAGTTTTTTAATTTTTTTTTTCCGTTTGGATAACACTTTTTAAAAAAATTAAAGTAGAATCAATTATTTTATTGCAACTTTACTCTTATCTAGATATTAATACTAAACTTTGATTCGATTAATTGAACATTACTTAAAGGGTAATTTAATGAATTGTTTTTATTTTTTATAGAATTGAGGTGATTCAATCTTTTTTTAATTTTATTAAAATTCAAATACGGTCAAATTAAACAAAATAGATGGAGTTTTTTTTTTTTTTTTTTTTTTTTTTTTTGAAGTTTTTTTTTTTTTTTTTTTTGAAGTTAAATAGATGGAGTAATTAATATTCCCTCTGTCCCAAAATATAAATCGTTTTTGGGTGATTAGTTGTCCCAAAATATAAGTCATTTTGAGTATTTTAAAGAGTAATAAATGATATTTTTTTTAATGTTACTATTTTTTAGATTAGTTACAATAAATACTTTCATAAATAACTATTAGTTTTAAATTATCCTTCGGAATTAATTATTTTCTTAATCTTTATGTAACAACCTTAAACGATTTATATTTTAGGGCAGAGGGAATAAATAATTGCGTCAATCTCATTCAAGTGTCAATTTAGAAAAAGTTGTTTTTGTCCCATTTTCATATGTCATGTTAGAAAACTAAAAAAGTAATTAATTATTATTTTTCAATTTTACCCTTGTTTCTTGAAATTTCATTGAGAAATTATTAATTATTTGAAATTTATAACAAAAGTTTATAACTTTTTTCAGAAATAAGATTATTTAAAAATTTTCTTGATCTTTTGTGAAATTAGACTCTCCATGTGACAATGATCGTAACTAGTTCATTGCTCCGTCCTTTACATTGAACTTTTCAATTTTTTTAACTTTTTTTATTTAGATGATATTTTCAGAAAATAAAAAAAATATTAATTATTTTATTTCAAATTTATTTTTCTTTACAAAATTTTGCAAAAATTTAATTTAGGTAAATGAGCGCTAATTAAAGAAAGAATAATTTAGTCAATTGTTATTATTTTCTTTCTTTTTACAATTAAAATGATCATGTACAAAGTGAAAAATTGTCGAACTTAACAAAAGTATTAATCAATGCTAAAACTATAGCTTTAATAGTTTCCCTCCATTCACTTTATTAATTTAATTAAATTACCATTTTATATAAGATTAGTTTTAGAAAAATGTATACAATAATGTAATAGAAATAAGGATAAAAATTGAAAAAACAAGAATTTATTGTAGTAAATTGTTTCTTAATAGTAATTAAAATATAATGATGCAAAATTGCAAATGGTCAACTCTTTTAAGAGCGTAGCAACACAAATTTCAAATTCCAATGACTTTGATTTCAATTATACATATATATGCATCAATTAATTCCCATAGCTTGTAATGCTACGTGGCTTCAATTTTAAATAAATGCCCATATTTTCCACTTTAACTAGGAAGGGTCGGCAGTTCAAGTTATGGGCAGCGTTTCATTTCTCGTGGCTTCTATATAAACTAGCTACTACCATTCACACCTCAAAAAAAAAAAAAAAGATTTAAGCCTAATTCCATGTAAATTTCTAGAATTTAAATGGAAAATATAAATATTCATAAATTAGATTTAAGTGACGGCCTGATCTAAAAATTGGCTCTAAATTGCCTACTTGTTTTGATGTTCAATCATAATCCAAAATGGTTTATTTGAATAGAGAGCATTAGTTTCATATCATCCTTACTTTAGAGTGCTCTAATAGCATTTATAATGGCCTAGTAGATGCTGGGTGTGCAAACTTACCTATCAAACCAAATCGAAAATTGAACCGACTCGATTCAATTTGATTTAATCAGCTAAATAAAGAGAGGTTCGGTTGTTGGTTTATTCAGTTTGTTATATTTCAGCTCGAATCAGTTTCATAAAAATCTATCTGTTGGATTTAAAATCAAACTGAAATAGTAAAACCGGTCAAATTAACCTACCAAAACTAATTTGATTTTATTCATTTAATTTAGAAGACAATTTCGATTCAGTTCGGTCTATAAAACACTTTAGTTTGTATTTTTTTTTTTTATCTCAATTTGGTTCGGTTTGAATTGAATCGACTATTTACTTAACCTTACTAGCATACTAATGGATATTATGCCTTACTATGAGCAAAGTCAAGCCTTACTCTAGTGAATTCAAGTTCAGCTCGAAAAATGTGACAAGTCGAGATCGAGCTAGTAATATATCAAATAAAGTCGCATTATTTTAATATAGATTTAATTGATATACAATACTAAACAAATGTCGGACTATTCATAAACGACTTGTTTCATTTATCGCCCTAACCTCACGTAAAGCTAAATTACATAATAACTTGTAATTCTAGATAACCATTTTTATTTTCTATCCAAACACATGATAGCTCAAATTTCCGTTCATTGGTCAGGCTTAAACCTAAAGTTGCACTCCAATTAGAAATAATTGTAATTCTGAGTAATTACATTAATGTGCATAGTTAATTTGTTTTCTCGAAAGTACCTAATTGTAGAGTATTTGACAAAGCTAATAGAGTATGGTTCTTTTTCTCTTTCCCTTTTTGAAGGTTACGTGTTCAATTTCTTCATCTATTTGTGAAAAACACAAAGCCTAATGAAAAATAAAACCTTGTCGTTTTGTGGAGAATGAAATCCAAAACTTCAACTCCATGTTATGAAACGTTTTATAGAAATTTTGTCGTGTTATGAAACGTTTCCGCCAATTATTGCGTTGACCCTACACGTTACTGTTTTCGATGGGGCGGCGGGACTGGGGGGACTTGGGGGAGCCCGACCCCTCAAACTCCAGATTTTTTTTTCTTCACTTTGATCCCCTGACTTCTAAAAAATTTATTTTGACCCCCAAATTCTTTTTTTTTTCTTTTAATAAATACTCTCATTGCCTACTCAAATTGACCTTTTCTCATATAATGTTGTCATCCCATTAATTATATATACATATTGTATATAATGCTTTGCTCTCCCAGCCAATGAGAAGTATTATAAAATATTTAATAATAAAACCATCGCACCTTCATCTATTATCAAATTAATTAATTTATGAAAATTCCAAAATCTCTTTTTTCTAGAATTTTTTTTACATTTAATTTTTTTTTAATAGGTGGACAAAAGTGATGTAACCTCTTTTATCTCATATAAAGAATATAAAATTTATAAAACTTTGGATCAATTCATCTAACAATTGGTCT